AGAATAAAAACAATAGAGTGTTTATGTCTCGAAACTATCGGTCTGATAGTTGCCCCTTGAAAATATTTGTTTTAAGAACATCAAATTTCCGCGGGGCAACTATCAGCCGATAGTTCCTCGACAGAAACACTCTATTGTTTAAATAGTAACGTACTTGTGTGGCCAATGGAGATAGTTTATGATGGCATAGCACACAGCCAACCCCTTGCATTGGAATACCCACCATTATCAACACGCTGTCGCTAAAACAGTGGCCATAATTCTGACTACGTTCTAACGGGGATAATATGCCATTTCATTTTGTTTTCCTTTTTTCCCTTGTGTTTGACGGCGTAATGCAACACTTCGATCAGCGTAACTGACAGCATTAAAGCTTAATTTACCGGCTCAATCAAGCGGAGAGATACAAACGAAGAAAGGAAAATTTAAAGGTAGGAGAGAAAGAGAAATTCTAACAAGAGCTTAGTCTGTTAACGTCTTTTTCGATGTCGATAAATCCCCTAACGCACCTACAACGCATGTGATTTGGAAAGAATATAGAACGAAACATAAAATGGCCATTGGAATGATGCTTGCTGCTAAGAGCACGCACTTTCACACTCGCATATATAGAACCAGCTGTTACTGCAGGGCACGGTAGACCACTTCCCATAGCTGTTATCGGGATGGGTTGATATGACAGTACAGTCTCTATTTTCCTCAATGTTTATCGCATGAGGATAGCCTAACTGCCAGTTGAAATAAGTAGCGTCATCTGTGGTTCCTTTCCAACGATAGACACCCTCCTGATCCTGGTCTGTCAGACCAATGTAGTATCTTCCTACCACAAAAAAATAGGAATCGCTGAAAAACAAATACTGGAATATTCTGTGTTTGTTTTAGTCATACCGTATCGTTAAGTGGCTTTTGTTATTGATAGCGTTGGAAATTCTTGCTAAGGAAAGTGGAGAAGGCAGTGACTGATCGGAAAACTATCAGCCTGAAAAATTTTTCTGCTTTGTGGGAGTGGACACTAATGCTAAAGCAAAAGTTTCATTTTTTTTTTCACTTTTTTCCACTTCATTCTCATATGCACTAGAGACGTAAAGACTTTCTTTCTCCGCCCTCAAGGGCTTGTAAAAATACGAACTGGTTACTGTATTTTGAGAGGTTTTAGAAACATCAGTATAACACTAGTACCAATCAACGAACTGAAAAAGAACAGATAACAGCAAATAATTTCTGCGTGTTTGTTATTCGCTTACCATTCTGAGGGGCAAGACTAACAACTTTGTCATTGTCTTCAATAGACGGGATCTTAATCATGCATCCTCTTTTACCATTAGAAGTCTCGAAAAGCTTACAGTGAGAGTTCGCCTTAACTCTTTCCTTAGATTGGGTGAAAAATCGTATACATCCAGTTCTGTATCGATGCCAACCGTTCCCACAGTCTAGAGAAGAAAAGATGGACGAGGTTTCATTGATTCAACTTATAATTGCTCTAACTCCCAATTAGAAACTTTTGGAAGTGAGTTCAGGAAACTCAGCTAGTACACGAGGCTGAGGCCTCCTGGCAACTTCTCGAAAAAAAGATGATAAAATGATGGGTGAATGAAAATGATAGTTGATTAAATGAATAAATCAATTGATGTGTTGATAAATAAATAACATGGAACTCTAGCACACACTCATCAATTTGAAATGCCATTTTTTTTTATGAAAATCCATCACACAGCTCCAAGTATAGCAGAATAGACATAATGTCAAAAAAATGTTTTTCGCTCATCTAATTCTACATTTCGCCAAATGAACTTCTGCGAATTAAATTTTCGATTTGGATAAAACGCAATTTTTTTATAATTTCTTAAAGACATTCAAATTTGCCGCCATTCTGGTCCACCATTCGCACCAGTCCTCCTCGGTTTAAAGTGAGTCGTGACGTAGATTCAGGAACACGTGATTTTGGGTTGTGACTTATCTGACTTGAAAACAAGTGAGAATTTGCTTCAGAGTGGTCATAATATCGTAAGCTCACAATATCGTAAACAACCCGCACTCGACCAGTGTATTTATATGCATTTTGAGGTCAAGTGAGATTCCTGAACCTACGTCACAGACACCAGTCACGTGGTCATTTTGAGCACGTTATTCTTGTGATCAGCGGCAGGGGTCGACCGCAAGAAAATAGAATTTTGAACTTTGTAAAAAATTCGTAAAAAAATCGCGTTTTATCCAAATAGAAAAAAATTTTCACCAAAGTTCATTTGGTTAAATGTAGAATTAGATGGGCACTTTAAGGCAGCAATTGTAAAATGGACTCTCAGCGTACAAAGCCTTTGATTGAGCGGATAAGGCGTACAGTAAGCTAGTTTTGAGGAAACCGTGCTACTTTTCATTTCAAATTATTCTGCTTGTAAGTTCTCGTTTCCGTGACATTAACAACCAAAACACACCACTCATTTAGAAATTAACCAATTGTTTGAGTCCCAGCAACTTGATTCACTCAATGATTTGGCCATCAAGCCGAGCGCAATATAATCAATTAGTCAATGTTGGGTACAGAGAAATAAAATACCACCCATTACCTGTTTGGGGTTTCACCGATGACGACAGGAGAGTAACTGATGACGTCATTACGACCAACGTCGAATTAAGTACAAAAGGTGGTGATGTCACTGGTATTCTACAGGAGGACTGTGTGACTGACAGATGTGAAGAAGGTAAGAAGGTCAAAGCAGATAAAATCACAGATGAAGCAGCAGGTACATTTGATGAAGCTATCGATGATAGAACGGGGGAAGAAGTCTTTGATAGT